AAAGCAAATAGAAGATGAAGAGAATACTAATGAAAGGGAAGAAACTTCCCAATATCCTCCTATTATTTCTTATGATGAATCAGGTAACGAGGAGGAGCCTTCTATTCAACCAATCTCATTAATAAGGAGCTCCAAAAGGAGGATTCAACCCATACATGATGTGAAGAAGAAAAATAAAAGACGGAGAAGCAAAGGTAAAAAGGTATCCCTCCCAAATGATGTTGCTCCTACTACTCATCGTGATGATGATAATCACTATACTATTGGTGCTATCCATACTATTAATGATGAGAGTGATTATGCTTATGATATTAAATGGATGATATTGATACACCTAAAGGAAGCAATGAGGGAGGGAGGCGCGCCCTACCCCCTGGGCACGCCCCCCACCCTTGTGGGTCCCTCGTGGCTCCCCTGACCGACTTCTTTCGCCTATATATGTCTATATACCCTAAAACCATCGAGAAACACAATAAATCGGGAGTTCCGCCGCCGCAAGCCTCTGTAGCCACCAAAAACCAATCGGGACCCTGTTCTGGTACCCTACCGGAGGGGGAATCCCTCACCCGTGGCCATCTTCATCATCCCGGTGCTCTTCATGACGAGGAGGGAGTAGTTCACCCTCGGGGCTGAGGGTATGTACCAGTAGCTATGTTTTTGATCTCTCTCTCTCTCTCTCTCTCTCTCTCGTGTTCTTGAGGTGATACAATCTTGATGTATCGCAAGCTTTGCTATTATAGTTGGATCTTACGATGTTTCTCCCCCTCTACTCTCTTGTAATGTATTGAGTTTTCCCTTTGAAGTTATCTTATCGGATTGAGTCTTTAAGGATTTGAGAACACTTGATGTATGTCTTGCCGTGCTTATCTGTGGTGACAATGGGATATTCACGTGATCTACTTGATGTATGTTTTGGTGATCAACTTGCGGGTTCAATGAACTTCTGCATAGGGGTTGGCACACGTTTTTGTCTTGGCTCTCTGGTAGAAACTTTGGGGCACTCTTTGAAGTACTTTGTGTTTGTTGACTAGATGAATCTGAGATTGTGTGATGCATATCGTATAATCATGCCCACGGATACTTGAGATGACATTGGAGTATCTAGGTGACATCAGTGTTTTGGTTGATTTGTGTCTTAAGGTGTTATTCTAGTACGAACACTATGATAGATCGAACAGAAAGAATAGCTTCGTGTTATTTTACTATGTACTCTTGAATAGATCGATCAGAAAGGATAACTTTGAGGTGGTTCCGTACCCTACAATAATTTCTTCGTTTGTTCCTTGCTATTAGTGACTTTGGAGTGACTCTTTGTTGCACGTGGAGGGATAGTTATATGATCCAGTTATGTTATTATTGTTGAGAGAACTTGCACTAGTGAAAGTATGAACCTTAGGCCTTGTTTCCTAGCATTGCAATACCGTTTACGCTCACTTTTACCACTTGTTACCTTGCTGTTTTTATATTTTCAGATTACAAATACTCATATCTAATATCCATATTGCACTTGTATCACCATATCTTCGTCGAACTAGTGCACCTATACAATTTACCATTGTATTGGGTGTGTTGGGGACACAAGAAACTCTTTGTTATTCTGTTGCAGGGTTGCTTGAGAGAGACCATCTTCATCCTTTGCCTCCCACAGATTGATAAACCTTAGTTCATCCACTTGAGGGAAATTTGCTACTGTCCTACAAACCTCTGCACTTGGAGGGCCAACAATGTCTACAAGGAGAATGTTGCGTAGTAGACATCAGCAACCCAAATAATGGCCCCTTGATGACCTTGCCGGCCTTCTCGGCCCTGCCGGTCCTCTCCACCCTACCGTCGGCGAACACGTCCAGCTGGAAGAGCCTCTGGCAGTAATGGGCGTGCCCCATCACCGTGAAGTTGTGCTTCAGGCCGGGGCGGAGCCTCATGATGTCGGCCGCGTTCCTGAAATCCCAGGCCGGCGTCCCCTTGTTGTGCAACGGTGCGATTCGGCGGTGGATGAAGTCCCCCCGATCATCTCAAGGGTGAGCCCGGCCGTGGTGAGGTGATGGATCCTGGCGATGGCAATCGAGAGCTTCGCGTCGTTGGCGTCGACGTCGCTCCAGTCCTCGCGGCGAATTAGCGGGCTCCGGCGAACCCGGCAGACCTCCAGCGGATTCTTCTCCTCGATCCAGCACCACCGGCCCTGCCACTCCTCCCACCTCTCCTTGTGGGCATCCTCCGGATACGTGCCTCTCCCTTGTACCCTCGGGATCAAGGAGAAGCTTCTGGAGGGGGTGCCTCTGGTTGGAGGCGAGGAGAGAAGTAGTGGTGGAAGAGCGCTATGCTGGGGAGCACCCCAACTAAGCCCTCGCAGAGGTGGGCGAAGAATGCCAAGCACGCCATGGCATTCGGCATGAGGTCCAGAAGACGGAAGCCAAAGGTGCGCATGACGTCATTGAAGAAATCGGAAAAGGGGAGCAGAGTCCGCGGGAGAAGAAATCGACGAAGAAGGGGTAACGATTTGGGCCGGCCTCGCCGCAGTCGGCGGGGATGATGCGCGTGGCCGGGTGGCCCGTTGTCTCCGCCGCCCACAGAGGCCGGAAGAAGTCCTTAAGGTGGAATACATCGACCAACGACGGGGAGAAGTAAGCGAACTGTGCCCGCCGCACCACCGCCTCGTTCTCCGGCGCCTCCTTCTCCACGACATCCTTGGCCGCCCCCCTTGCCCTTGCCCTTGCTAGTCTTGGGCGCCATGGCAGCTAAGCGAAGGCAGAGGATCGAGAGCAGCGGGAGCGCAGCAGCGGCGAGCAGAGGCGAGAGCTCGAGGAGGAAGAAGATGGACACAACGGTGCCGAGATTGGAGAAAGCGCAGAGGGTAAATGAGCAGCGCGCCTGCGGTTATTCTTTTTTGTGGGGAAGGCGCAGGCCGCCTCTTTACCATTTACTACGATGTGACGCCTACATGCAGCAGACGCCCCATGCATGCCCCCCCCCCACGTCACGCACGGCCCTCCATGTCACGCATTCAACGCGGATCGTGGGGAAGCGCAGCAAGAGGAAAAATTACTGGTAAAAATCGGCCCCGCCTGCCCGTGCACCGTTCTGGGCCTAGCCCAACAACGCGTCGCGCTTATGTGTGGCCCGGACCCGGGGGCTCCTGTCGGTGTATAGAAGTAGGGGCTCTACTTTGCACCCCTTTACCTGTGCACGGGCAGTCAGAGCCGCACCTGCGGCCACACTTAGCAGGGCAAAGGAGGGAAGCCGAAGCCACGAGACGATCAAAGCAACGCCAAGACAGAGACATGAAGAGCAAGAGGGCGAGGTGGACTCCCCCGGCAAGACCCTTGCCAGGGCGGCCCCCACGGCCCCGGCAAGGGCCTTGCCGGGGCAACTTACCCAACACCAGTAGAGCGTGCCACCCTTGAGCCCGAGGTTTCGAACATCATCAACGACATTGGAACCAAGGCTCGGGAGGCGCCTCCATGGTGGCGTGCAGATCTTTGTGAAGACCATTAACACGCAAAATCAGATGAAGACCAGAAGACGAGACCTCCGGCAACATCTTTGCCGGGGACGACCGCAGTGCCACGGCAAGATCCTTTCCAGGCCCCCCGGCAAGACCCTTGCCGAGAACACCAACGGGGCCGCGGCCAGGCCCGCGCGCACCAAGACCCCACCGCCATTCCCATGCAGCTGCCAGCCCGGCCAGCCAGGCGGGCACCTGCGTGGCGACGTGCGGTCCCGAAGCCAACTCAGCAAGCACCTGCGTGGTGGCATGCAGATCTTCGTGAAGACGCCACCACCGCGCCAGCTCAGCAGCCTGCCAGCCTACATGGCGCTGCCCACCTCGCTGGCCTGGACGCGTGTCGAAGCAAGGCGAGGCGGCAACAAAGCTCGGGGACACCTCAGGGGCGCATTTAATGCATATTGTCCAGCTTGTACACTATACCCTTTCCACCTCCTGTGTGCCACTGTGGCGCCTCCTTCGACTATAAAAAGAGGCCCGAGGCGTACTGGAGAGGGATTCGGCTCTTTGAGCAAGTCACGCTCGATGGCTAGCTTAAGAACACTGAAATACACACCAAAGCGGGACTAGGGTATTACGCGATCCCCGCGGCCCGAACCTGGGTAAACTATCCTTGTGCTGGCTCTTAGACCCGCTCTTCTCACAACCCCGCGCCCGCCGGCCACAGAAGGGATTCCGTTGATGCCATAGGTGTCGTTCCCACCGACATATCCCCTACCACATACTGTATTACCTCATCTCACATGGGTATGCAATGCCCAGTGTTGCTTGCTTTGAGCAACTTTGTAAGCTATGAAGTTTGTATCAATGATGTAAGATGTGTATAAAAGTTCAATGAATAGCCCCTCCGGGCGCGAAAGTATCCTTCTTTTTCTCGATCTCAAATGCTCCTAAAGTGAACAGTAAACTCGAAAAAAATAGAAAACATTCAGTTTTTTGGCAAACTTTAAGAAATGTTTGAAGTGCATGCAAATTTTTCATCACGAAATCACATTGAAGGAAGTCGTGAAAAAAAAACACGCACACACAAAAACAGAGCTTTAAAATGCGTTTGAGAGTAACACTTTCAGCGCATCGATTTTGTTCTTTTTATCACCCCTTGCACTGATGTGATTTGATGATGAAGTTTCGCACGCACTCCAAAAATTCCTTAAAGTTTTTCACAAAAGAATTCAGAATTTCTTCTTTTTAATTTTTCTAATTTATTGTTCATCCAGGAGTATTTGAGCTCGAGATTAGAAACTCCACGTCCCGGCGCTCCCTCTGTTAAAAAAAAAAGAGCTCCCTCATTTTCTGTATAATATGATATGAGGCAGTATAGGGACTAAATGTAAAGTGCACAGACACCGATCTGATTTTTGCCCAATGTTTCTTCCTCCTCTGTCCTCTCCAACTCTAACATCAAAAGTCTCCAAAATCAACCAAGTCAACCCCCACCCCCTCCCCCTACCATACCCACCTAGATTGGAGTGTTGCATCATCGAGCAAGGAAAGTAAGATGGAGGGTGCCATAGTGGGCGCCTTGCTGAAGGCCACCCTGCCGAACCTGTTTAAGCTGATAGGTGACACATGCAAGCAGCTGGACCCTGATGTTCGATTCATTCAAAGTGAGCTCGCTGCCTTCGGAGATTCTCGCTGGAGAGGCAACGAAATCGGCGATTTGCGGAGAACCTGGATCTTGCAACTCAGAGGGTTGGCTCATGAGATCCAAGACTGCATCGACAGCTTCCAGATCCACAAGACCTCTCCCACACAGTTTGCCCACGAGATCGCTGACCTCAAGAAGAGAATACAAGATTCATCCGAAGCGCTGCACCGTTATATCGGCCAGGGGGAGCCGAGCAACGGAAAAGTTGCTCCAAATCCGATGGCGAATGATGCACAGGAAGATCTTCTTGCCTTCGTACAGAACCAATCTGAGATGAACGCCAAGGTCGTCTGCGCTATTGGCTTCGGTGGGCAGAACACTGATCTTGCGAGGCGGGTCTACGAGAAGAATGAAGTCCGCCGGCAATTCGGTCAACGGGCGTGGGTCAGTGCGGCGGACAGAACCGTGGATGATGTTCTGACGGAGATACTCAGGCAACTTGAGCGGCGCCCTCGGCTGGGCATGCTCATCCTCAGCTGGTTCCTTTCAATCTTGTGTTTTTTCCGTGGATTGCTTCTGAAGGTTTTCGGCACCGAGATGCCGGTCGCATCCCGGTCCGGCGCCAGCTCCGACATAGATCATCAGCTCAGATCACTGCTAAGCAAAGAAAGGTGTGTCTCCATTCTGTTTTATATCTAATTTTACCCCCCATTAATTTTCAGTAACAATGTTCAGTTCAGGGAGTGTACCATAATTTCCTCCAATAAACTCTCCATGATTACATTTCATTTCTCTGCCAGTGTCCAATTCCTCTGCTTTTCCTCTGTTCCAGACAGGGCATAATAGTGTCCATTTCCCCCTGCTTTTAACAGAGTGTGCACATTTTTGCTAACTGTTCTTATTGGGGAAAGTAATAATGAATGCAAAGAACCACTAATTTCAGAACTAAGAAGCCATATTCATGTCATTGATAGGCAGGCAAAGCAAGAAAACATATTTGGGGCTTGTCCTCTTACACGTGACCCCCCTATAATCCACTAATAATACTTTTATTTGTTTATTTTTATTTCCGAACCATGGATTCTCCTGGTATTGTATCAACTTCATCCATTTTTAATAACCCCTTTGGCTGCAGAGGAGAATCGATAGTGTTTTATTTACCTCATTTCTTGTTAATCATATGTTATACAGGTATTTGATTGTAATTCATGATGTCACGAAAGAAGAGGTGTACAATAAAATATGTGCCTTCCCTTGGGCCAACAGAGTAGGCGGCAGAATCATCGTGACGACGGACATCCATTCAGCAGTGAGACCCTGCATCTGTGGCAACGATCCACCACTGCTTGTTCCAGATAGCATCACATCTCGCCTGGTTTTGGTTGGAGAGGTGGGCACTGGGATGTTTTACAAAGAGACCTGCTCTGCACTTTGTGACGCAGCCGTAGCAAGAATGCAATGTTTTGTCGGCAGTGACTATGAGAGGATTGTTGTTGAGGACATGCTGCTATATTTCAGCATGTTCCCACTTCATCATCATGTTCGGAGGAATCCTCTAATAAGGCGATGGCTGGCTGAAGGACTACTTGTCCATGCCATACAGAAGGTGCCTGAGAATGTGTACCGTTTTCCACAGGATGTGGCGGCCGAGCATTTGGACATTCTCATCGGCCAAAATATTGTCAAGTCCATTAAGAAGGGCAACAATGGAAAGGTGACGAGATGCCAACCTCCAGGTATGGTGTTCAACCACATTTGTGCCAGGGCTGTGATCGATAATATTAACACCTTGCTGTGTGGTCCAAGTCAGAATGAGACAATCCAAGAAGCATATGTTCGCCGGTTTTCTCTGAGCCTCGGGAGCAGTATTAAAGAAGTTCCGAGTCAAATAAGGCGGCTGCGGCAGTTAGAGACATTCGATATGAGTACAAGTGCGGTAGTGACGGTGTCCTCAGATGTACTCAAGTTGCCCAAATTGAAACACCTCCTTGGCAAGTTTCGGCTATCTGAAAATCCAAGCATGCTGAAGAAAGGCGCAAAGAAGGTAAAGAAGGTGTTGAAGCTCAAGGATGAATTCTCAAAGCTAAAGGACTTCTTGAGGGACAACAGTGTCCTGGAGACTCTAGCAGGAATCGTCATCGGCAACGGCATGGGATTTCCACAACTGTTGAGTGATATGGGGAAGCTGAGGAAGGTGAAGATGTGGTGTGATTCCATGACAAATGAGTCTACAGACTTGACTGGTCTTAAGGAAGGCATCAAGGCATTTACCAGTCACCGAATCCGTACACCCAACGTTGATTACTCACTCTCTGTTGACTTCAGCGGCTCTTCACAATCCTTCCTGGATTGCCTGGAAGATCCTGGCATGCTTACATCACTCAAACTGCGCGGCAACCTGACGCGCTTCCGTCCAGTTGCTGCAAGGCTGGTTAGTCTACAGGAGCTGTGCCTCTCGTGGACTAATCTTAGCGGAGCTGCAATCCAAATCGGCCTCAGTAATTTGAGATGCCAACTGAAATTTCTGAAGCTGGTTGAGAACAATCTTGTGGGGCTTGCCATACAAGACAAGGATGCATTCGTAAGCCTGGAACGGATATGTCTCGTGGGCATGCAAAGTCTTGAGGAAATAATTATTCAAGATCTGAGTAAGCTTGTTTCACTCCACTTGCTCTGTCCTACTCTAGGTGCTCTTCCCGGCATCCAGATCCGAAAGCTCCAAAATCTCAATGAAGTCGGACTCCATTATCAAGTTGACGGTGACATCAAACGTGGATGGGAAGATGCTGCAGTCGGCCATAAGCGTAAGCTCAGTATTTTGTCCATCGGAACACACTAATGCAAGTTGCGTCCAGATCCCCTGCCAAGCATCATCATGTACGGTCAGTTTTTTTTTTTTTGGTCCATCGCCTCCTATTTATTATTCATCTTCAGTCTTCTCCAGGTTGATTGTTGCTGCCGCCTTGCAATTAGATGTAATAACAACGTTACGGTCTTCTTCATTGCAGTGCAAAGCATTGCAATGAGCCAATCACTAGAGGACTCACTTCCCCTTCTGCAATGTCGTTGCAGTATTAATATTTTGCATCCTTCCATGCAAACAGCCCAACGGATTTTACAATGAAGTTCATCCCTAGTATTTCTTATTACTGAAGATAAGCCAAAAGGCAAGCACAGAACAAGGAATTTTCCTTACTAGACCGACTCAAGATTACCGGATTTACTCTGAGACTCTCCTCTTCATGGTTGGTCCCCAGTTCAGGAAAGATGGAAATTACTGGTTGGGTTAGTCCAACCAAGAAAGAAATGGGATTCTTTCAAATGATATTGAGTCGTTTCAGTAGTAAGCCAATCGCCGTTGTAAACAAATTTTGACCAATTCTCACAAGCAGAAGAGTTACGATAAGGTCAGCAAAAGCCCTTGTAGAAGTTAAATGTATTGCTTCGCACTATGCTTGACCCCCCTCTATATTTCTACCACCTGCTAGCGTTGCTATTGTTGTACCTTCAGATTTTGTTCTTCATTACGTGTTGTGTTGTTGTAAATAACCCTGCTACCATTATTACGTTTGATAATTTTTACGGTAAGGCTTTAGATGATGTTCGTTTTGAAGGTTAGGTTCATACCTCTTGTTGAGCAACTTGCTTATAGCGTTCTATGATGAGAAAGAGTTGGTTGCTTTCTTTAATACTGTAGGTAGCACAGGGTTCGGGGTTCAGCGGCACAGGTTTGCACTGGCCGGATGCTGATGGAGCACAAGATACTAGAGCTCCATAGGCCGTAATCTGGATGACTGCAACGACCTTAATTATGCCGCCGTGCCGAGCTGTATTGTGTGCGATCATTGTACAGTACCACCATTTTACTGCTCCGGATGTTGGTGCCTAGCATCTGCAGTTTGTTCATTGTGCATTGTTAAGTAGTTTGCATCCCAAGCTTGAACCTTTTTTTCAGTTGGATTGAGTACTAGCAATCTTTGAACTCAAGACCACAACACAAGCGCAAAAGATGCTATGACAATCGATTAATTAACATTTAGTCACAATCGTACCAAGAATTTGGTACATGGATTTGAAAACCGAAAAGAAAATAATTCAGTGAAGCTACAATAAAATCAAGCTGTGTTTACTTCCATTGGGTATATTGCACATTTATGTAGAAAACATTATTAAAACCGTGTAACTTTTCTACCCTCTAAGGCCATCAGCGTTCATGGCCGTTGGATGGTCACTTTTGGGCATTTGGGGCCATCCGATCGGCTCTTAATGGCACCCCCCAGTGGCTTCGTTCGATCCTAATGAGCGCTAACCCTTATTGGGCGGTTGCTCTGGTGGCTATTTTCGGCTTGGGATTAAATTGGGCCTACTAGGCCTGTAACAGCCTCTCGCCCGAGCAACCCAAAAGAGCAGGACGCTTCCTTCTGTTCGGCGCAAGATGATTGGAAGCATGCACTAATAGATTGTGTAATGGCCAGAAGTGTTTGGTCTCTTTGCTCTGAAGAAACAGTGGAGATTATGCTTGATAACTTGTCCCTTGACGCCAAGAACTGGATTTTCACAATGCATGACTTGCTATCACAGGAGGAATTCATTCGGATGGTCGTGACTCTTTGGGCTGTTTGGCGATCGAGAAGGAGAGCTATACACGAAGAGATTTATGACAGCCCGTTCTCTACCAACTGTTTCATAATACATTACTTGAGAGATCTGGAGCTTCTTGAGAAAGTAGAGAGGGGGGTTCAGAAACAAGCCAGTCGTAGACCAACTGGATGGTTGGCACCACCGGGTGATCATGTAAAGATCAACGTGGATGCGGCGGTGTCTAATGAAGGAGATGGTGGTGCAGTGGAGGTGGTGTGCCGTGACTACAATGGCAGGTTCTTAGGAGCGTCAGCTTTAAAAATCAAGTTCATCACTGATGCGAGTACGTTGGAAGCTATTGCAGTAAGGGAGGGGCAAGCTTTGGCAGAAGATCTTTATGAAAACAACATACAAATTGCATCTGACTGAAAGCGGGTGGTTGAGGATGTTCACAAGGGCTCGTCGTCTGAGTACGGAGCTATAGTGCATGAAATAATACATCGCGTTACTTCTTTTATGTCATGTAAAGTAGTTCATGAGTTTAGGAGCTCGAATTTCGAGGCTCACAATCTCGTCAAATATGCTTTGTCTCTGGGTGTTGGCCGCCACGTGTGGTTGGGCCAGCCCGGAGAGCTTGATTTTGTACCCTTAAACATTATGGAGAATGAATAAAGCATGTGAGGTTGTCTCAAAAAAAAAACAGGACGCTTACCTCAAAAAAAGGGAAAAAAAAAGCAGAACGCTCGCAACCCTCGTCTTCGCTCGCAAGGTCGCAGCCTTCGTCTGGCGGTGTCTCCCATGGGCGACCGACCTGGCAACCTGGATGCCGACCGATGTGGGAGCGATGACTCCCATGGCGACTGCAGCAGCCCCTCACCGGTAAATGGCACGGGATCGGGCTCGACTGAACAACGTCCTGTTACAACTTACAAGAGACAACGGTTGAAGCCCTGGGAGATCTGTAGGTGGGCGTCAGCACTGCAAGATGTCGGCAATGGCAGATGCAGGTAAGGGGGAGCACTGTTGTGGCAATGTTTGTCGTAGGCAGGGAAACATGATAGATTATTGATGGTATTGGACATGCACGAACACCGAGGCGCGTCATGGGCGGCGTTTTCGGTCGACGCGCCGCTTCAATGACGGAGCCAGAGAGGTCACATCTGCTCTGGGCCGGCGTTAATACGGAGCGGCCGCTCTACAATGGCATGAATGCGGGCATCTGTTGTCAGGAGGGAACGCGCGCGAGCAAGGAAGGGAGGGTTTTGGGTGGGCCAATGTGATCAGAAGTGGGTGTGGCTACTATTCGAACGCCCGTAAAGTCCCCCGTAGTTTGCCTTCAGTTTACGAGAGAATGTGGGTTCAAACTACCATGCAGAGCAATGTAGGACCGTGTTGGATGTGACAACACGTTCAAATCGCGCGGTCCGGACTGTTGCGATCGGTTGAGGGTCAACGTGAGATGCCCCAAGTGGGCATAGAGATCAATACATTGTTTTCCTTTTAGAGGTCAGTGCAAATGTTGGTTTACAGATAATGACAAGGAGTCACTTGCAGAGCGTTCCTAGGGGATTTTTCTTTGTTTTTGAGTGAAAAATAGATTTATTACATTATAATAGGGTTACAATCGAGAGGCAGAAGATCCTCTATACAGATGATCCTCTATGTAGCCAACATCTTTTGGGCCTTCACCATCAAGTTGTTGGTTCACATGTATAGAAATGGCACTTTTAGGCCTTCACCATCAGGTTGTTGGTTCACATGTATAGAAATGGCATCTAATTGCTTGATACTTGCTCTGTTTTTTCTGCCTAGTCGCGTGAGCATTCAGTCCTGTGGCCTCTTCAACGAGGTCCCCTGTATTCTCTTAGCACAATTTAGAGCCACACAAATATATGCTGTAAGAACATCCATGGTGGGCGCCCCAAACCGGCCTCAAACGTCCGGACGGCCCTCCCGGTCATAATTTTTCGACCCAGACGGTCCTCTTAAACGGGTCTCAAATGCTCGGGCTGACTGGCACCCCTCATATCCAGCCCAAATATGGGGGCGGATATGGGGGTACACGGGCACGCCCACCACGTCGGTCTGACAGCGGGGTTCCACATAGAAAACTTTGGAAACCCAACGATCTAACAGATGACGTGGTGTGAAAGCCGCGTGGCGCCGCTCTGGCTCGTCGCCTGAGACCAAAACCTGATATTTAAGCCGGCCGGCATCCCGCAACCATAGCCCATCCATCTCGCCCCTCTTCGCGCCACCAGTCCGAGCCCATCCACCTCCCTCCTCTCCCGCTCCAGCGCTCCGCCATGGTCCAGAGTAAGATCACCTACTACGCAATGCTCATGCTGGAGCGCCGATACGAGATCCAGCAAGAGATCAGGGTGAGACAAGCTGCGCGCGTCGCCCGCATCGCTGTCGGGCTGCCTCCGGACTCGCCGAAGCTGTATGAGAAGGAGCAGCCGGGGGAAGAGGAGGGGGAGGAGCTGGCTCCGATGGAGGTGGAGGAGGCGGAGCTGCCGGAGCAGGAGCTTCCGCGCTTCGACATGGAGCAAGCGGAGGCGGAGATTGCTGTCGGCCAATCAGAGGAGATGGCGGAGCAGCAGGCCATCCTGGAGTCCATCCAGATGAGGCCTATGTGGAGGCCAACCGGGCGTTCCTCCGGCACGAGCAGACGGCATCCGACGCGCTCTTCGCCGAACTTGACGTGGAGATAGAGGCGGAGGAGGCCGAAGGGGAGCAGCCGGAGCTGCAACTGTCGCACATGCTGCCCGAGCCGGGCACAGAGATCATTGGCATCTCCGACGAGGAGTACCTAGATGATCGACGTAGTAACGTAGGTTTATTTCGTTTGCATGTCTTTATATGGTTTTAAAAATCTAGTACGAGATATCGAGATGCAACTCGTGAAATTTGAGCAGTCCACAGTCACTGTCCGCGGATGCACCAGGACGCGTCCGCGGGCGTTTGAGGGGCCATATTTAACATATCCGGCTATAGATGTTGTAATGCTACCAAGATTTAGTGATGTACCATGGTACTACTCACAAAAACAAGAATGCAACTTGTCACGAGAAATAAGAGAAACAATAGCATATATAAGAGCAACTCCAACCGAACGATCCAGTTCGCCCGCCCGCGTCCGTTTGGTCGCCCCGGACAAAAATGATGGCCCAATGTGCCGAAGCATACCCAAAATGCGTCCGCTTTGTATCCGCGGGATCCATTTCGTGCCCAAATTTAAGACTGATTTGGGTCTGA